GCTGCGCAACAGCGGAAGGCCGAACCACGGCAGGCTGAGCGACAGCAGGTGGCGGGGTCACAAGACGCAACAGCAAGTCGATCTGACCTTGCAGCTGAGCGACTTGACGCTCAAGGTCCGCGACTCGGTTCTGAACCGACTGTGGTTGCTCAAACCAGTCCACGCGGTGGTTCGTCTCATCGAGACCATCTGCAAGGCGACTCAGAGAGTCAGTCGTCTCATGGAGATACTGGTTCAGAGAACCCACACGTTGCTCCAGCGCGAACACGTTGCTGCGACTCGCGACGCGAGAGTCCAGCTGAGGCTCGGCCTCCTCCTGCTCTGCTCGACGAGCACGGCGAGCTCCACTTCCATGTGGAACTCCTGGTGGCGAGGCGCAGGCGCCAGGGTCGTACTCAGTACCTTGTTAAATGGAGGGGTTATCCTCACTCACAAAACGCTTGGGAGTTTGAGGTTGTCCTCCGGCAGGACTGCCCTGACGTCGTCGACGCTTTTAATCGGGCACACTCACTGCCCCGCCGCTACGGCGTACGACCGCGTCGTCAGGCGCCGAGCGCTTCCCGCCGCTAGAACGCGGGGATGACAGGTCGGTGGCTGAGCTCAAGCTCCGACCAGTGGCTGGAGCAGCCCGCTCATAGGAATGAGCGGTGCTCGCAGCATGAGCAAGAGGCGGTGACGCCTCGAGGTGATGGGGACGGGGTCTTAGTGTTCGTCGACGTGATTTCGACTTAGCGAAGTCTAAGCGCAAACGTCTCTCAAGACGAATATCAGCTTCAGAGAAACTTGCTCGAAGAGCATTGTAGGAGGGGAGCCGTCGAGCTCCCTCCACCCAGCTTCGGAATTGTGCTTCATAAGCACGCTGGGATTCCCCAGGGTTGAGAACAACCGGAATGGTTCGCATAGAGGGAACCGGTTGGTGGTTGAGCTGCATCTGCAGGCGCGCCTGATACTCCTGAGGAGTTGTGACTTGTGGAGTCAGATATCGCTCTCGGAGCCGGTGCCGTTGCACTTGCTCATCAGCAGTCGAGGCCGCAGGCCCACACGTGTACGTGTTCAGCGGCTGCTGTGCCGCGAGGCGGGCCGCTTCGGCAGGGTTCCGCGGCTGGAAGCCGTAGTCACGGCGTGACGTTAGAACAAGTGGTCGGACCACAGGTTGGAACGACTGCGAGCGCTGCTCATTGGACAACTGACGGCCTTGGGCCTCGTCCAGGTCATTCGTAATGACGTTGTGATCGTATCGATCTTCCTCGTCATACCGCGACGATAGCGGTGGCGCATCGCGCAGCGAGCGAATCGGATTCGAACGTTCAGAGAACGGATGCGGTGTCCGCAGGTCTCTTCTTGTTTGAGATCGCGCCGTTGAGCGGCTAGACCTCACAGAGGAAGCTGGGGAAGACGCGGCACCAGTGTGCGACCTCGGAGAGGTTGGGTTGGATGGATCATCACTACCCATGGGCTCGTCGTAATCGACTTCGCCCTCTTCGAGTTCCGAGAACAGAACATCGTTCCCTCTGGGCGGCGCCCGCGGCTCTGACGAGCTTTGAGCTTTGCTCTCTTCTTGTTGACGGCTCATGGAGCGTTGACCGTGTCGACGGCGATACTCTTGGTGGTACTCCGCCACCGAAAGAGACGAAGATGCTCTTGGAGCAGTTGCGGAGCGCAGTTGGGGGTCTGGGACCGATGAGGCAGGGGCGGCGCGACGCGCTGGAGACGTTGGGCCGTGGGCCGGAGTGGGAGTGCCAGGCATCAAGGATGCGAACGCGTTTGTGAGCTCGTGGAGCTGCAGAACGCACAGGTGAGGTCTAGTGACCTCCGTCGTCTTGACAAGACGTGACCTCGCTGAGGAAAGTTCGAGAACGGAATGTTCTCATCTTAGTGAGGGAGAGTGTAACGGGGTTACATGGTGTGGAACACACAGGGGTACGAAGTACTCGAAGAGTTAACAAACTCTCAGTACATGAGTTGGAGAGTTAACCAGGTCTCTCAGTACGTTGGCTGAAAGCCACACGTTATGAATTTGATTAGGTTTAACTATGCTAGATAGTTAAAGAGATACATTTACCCCTAGGCGGCTTGGCCGCAATAATAGTAAATAAAACACTTCTGGTTTTGAAGCATAAAGTTAAGGTATTAACTTTGAGCCCTGGTATTGGGCTGTAAGTGTCCTTTGGATAAGGAACTTAATATTAGTGACTCGTTGAGTCGAACGTCTTCCTCTGACGCTAAAGCCACGGCAGCCCCGCTGCATGCTTTGAGCTCACTGGGCGTCAGTGACTCAATAAGCAGTTTACACTTCTCTTTTTGACCGTGCTGACCTTCAAAACAGGCCACTAGACCGTGTTCTTCGATCAGTTCGTTGCAAAGCATGAAGTACTGCAGCACGCGCTCGTTCACGTCTGTTTCAGACATTTTATACGCAGCTTCTTACCCAAAAGCATATCTATGTCGGGAAGTGTGTCGTTTATAACACGTTCAACAATCGCCTGAATTTCTGACATAATCTGGTCATCGATCACAGCGTTGGGCGCAATTCCGCCCGAGCGGTAGGTACAGAGAGCCTTTAACAGTCTTTCGTCGACGGTACTCTTAAATCTTTCCTTGAGCCGCTCGTAGAGTTCATCATCACCCTTGCTGCGAGCTTTCACGCTCTCTTCATACTCAGCTCGAGCTTTCTTCCACTTGATTAATGCAGAATGGGACATGGACGACAGTCGGGGCGCGACCACCGGAATGAGCAACGGCACACTCACGGTGTTGATGTCACTGGCCAATGGAGCATCATCTTCAACTGTCTTGCCGCGACGGTCCGGTTTCTTCATCGTGTGAACGTGGGTTCACTAAAGTCGACTTTGTAGTACGTCCACGAGACGAAAACAGTAGACACAGTTAGGGAAGCTGGCACTTCCGAACGCTTAGCCGATTGTATTGCTTACTGAGTAGAAAGCAAAAGGTAAAGTGACTAGACTACTCTGTTTCCAAATCCTGTTATCGCTACAGCGAGCAGGATAGCCTCCTGGCCCTGCCAGAGGCTCGAGCCTAGTAGTTGCAACTGCAACTGCAAGGACTGCCAGCTGGTAGTAAATGCAACTTGCATTCACTCCAAAGTGCAATGAGGGCAAGGCTTTCAACCTGAGCCCCACGCTACAGGGGGACACGCTGGCGTTGTCTAGCTTGAACTGCCACGAGTCGATCACAGATCAAACGTTCAAGCTCGATTATAGTGCCTGTGGTGATACCTGCGTGTTGTACTGGTATTGGTTGGGCGTTCGTTATCTTAAGAAGAAGTACTCGTGGCAAGTGTACAAGGAGTGTATCTCCTGTACTCTGGCCCTGGTGGTGGATCCAAAGAGCCTGGTGGTGGATCCAAAGAGCCTGGTGGTGGATCCAAAGAGCCTGGTGGTGGATCAGCTGCAGCCCCGGAAGCGGATTCTATTTCGTTGGGCTCTTCCAAGGAAACTTCAACAATGCCCAACAATGTTCCTGCTCCTAAGACTCGAAAGACAGAGACACCTTCGACGGATGAGTGGTCGACACTTACTCCTACAAAGTTGAAATGCAACGCAGCTAAGAGACGTGTTTGCGGTCGAGAAAAAAGAGATTGGTCGTCTGTGTTATGAAATTGCAAAAGCATAAGAAAATGTGTCCATGTTGAGTTTTTATCGGAAAAAAATCGGGGATTCGGGGTTCACTTTTTAGTATATTTACAAAAAAACGAAACACCTTTCTAAACCCACCTGTAGGTTTTATAATTAACAGCAAAATAAAAGCATTTAAATGAAACAGCGGGTCCAATTATTGGTTCTGAACTAATAGCTCAAATAAAATCATTTCTCAGCAATTCGACAACCAAATCTACACATTGAAGGCACCCAAAAGGCTGAAAGGCTCTCCTATCGATATAAAAATTCCGCCGTGCAACAAGGTATCGTCAGCGTAGTTCCTGAGCATTCCGAAGAGCAAACTCTCATTCCCATACCTATCGGATGAGCGTCACACCTGCATAATTGTAGAACTTAGCTGTAGCTTTGCAGTCCTGAGCGGCAACTGGTCGGGCATCACTCCTCCGACCGCAATTTTCTGTGCGATCGATGCGAAGTGGCATGAGTAACGTGGAGATTGATCCGCTTCTGCTGAGCCTGTAGCGGTCTACGACGGACCCCCGGGATGTGCCTTCGGTCTGAAGCAAAAATCCTTTTCGGTTAAAGTAGATTGAAAAATATCGTGTCGATCGAGAACAGGTGCGACTAGCAAAGAGACGGACGAAGATCACCAGCGGAAAATAACTTAGTTTTCAGTCTTGAGCAACAGGCCCCGGCACAGCGTCTCCATAACACCAAGGCACCAAGGCATCTGACATGTGAATACCTGCCCACACAAATATTTTTGCAACTTGCGATGTGGAGCTACAGTCACACACTGCGGACATTAGACTGTAGAGATACTGGACTGTTCGACTAACATGTTATCGGTAGTTGGTTGTGCCTCTTCCTGATGTTGTCAAAGGTACAAAGCTGCGGTCATTCTAATTAGCACCTGCACATCTCATCACGTAAATGAAACTCACCCAAATTCTATACACCTACACAAAAGAGAAGCACCTTTGCACTCAACGTACAGGAATCTACGCCGTAGAGGGTTTTTCAGCCGCCACATCAACTCATCCACTCTGTACCACGCACCTGGTAGCTAGCAGATGGAATGTCATGTTTGCCATCCAGGTCGTGCACTTGTCAAAAAATAATACTGGAATTTGTAAGGACACAGTTGAAGTTGAACCCTACCAGCAGATAAATCAAAAGTCTTATCGAGGTCACAAGCTGAAGCCAGACCAACTGCCTTGTTCAGATTTACTCTTAGTAGAGGCTGAACAAGCTGTTCAGCTTGATATTAATGATGACCAACTGCCTCGGTCGACATTGCTCTCTCCCTGCGCTCGCTCCTTCTCGCTGTACGTCATGGTAAGCTCTGCACGTCTCGACAAGCCTCATTTCCCGATTTCCAGTCAATCGGACTAGCACCTTATCCGTCCTCGCAGATCAAGGTCCAGAGTAACCATGAAGCTCGCGTGGGTGTTGAGCGCAGCTCTTCTAGCGTTCGTTTCGATCCTGTCGCCGGTTCACGCACAGTGCGGTGCGCGTGTCCGTAAGGACTGGGACGCCATGACGACCGCCGAGAAAGACACGTACAAGGGAGCCCTCGCTGCTGCGATGGACTCGGGTGCTTACATCAAGTTCATCGAGATGCACACAGAGATGCAGTCGGAGATGGAAGCTCATCGACAGTGTATGTTCATCTACTGGCACCGTCTGCTACTGGTTGTCTTTGAGAACATGCTTCGTGGACAAGGACCCCAGTACGCTTGTGTGACTGTGCCGTACTACAACTGGGTGGGTGCCAACAACCGCATGCTTGCTGGTTCATGCTCTTCTCTTGGAGACTGCTCCACAATCACGAGAGAACTCGGAGGCTACACGACCGGCTCACAGCGCACGATCAACATCAACGGAATTAACAACTCGGGGCGCTGTGTGGCGCAGTCGCCGCTTGATCACTTCTGCCAATCCGGAACAGTGTCCGGATCGGCTTGTGCGCGCTGTGTACCTCGAGGTAACTGGGGGTCTGCAAGTGTTCCATCCAGTACCAGCTTTGCTTCGGTTCGTCAGCAAGTTTTCAACGCTCAAAACATCGGTCAGATGTCCCCGAACGTCGAACAAGGTTGCCACAACAACATCCACGCCAACCTTGGAGGTGCCATGGGCACGTTCGCTTCTCCGTCTGAACCCATCTTCTGGTCGCACCACGCTATGGTCGATGCGCTCCACACTATCTTCCACAAGTGCCGTGTCGGTACCCAGCGACTGACGTTCGCGCAGAAAGCTGCGCACCCTGTTGCCTGGACTTCATGTGCCAAGCGAGGTGGCGGTTCGTTCAATCCGACGGATGTTATCGTTATGCGCACGGGCGTCAATGGCAACAACCCGATTCAAGGAAGCCAAGACCCGCTCATCGGTCGATACTTCACAGGCGTTCCCAACCAGTTCGCTGGACTGATGGACGTACGTGATTTGGGTGATAGCAGCTACTCGTACGAACTTAGCGGTCAACTCGCCGACATGTACAACAACTGTGATGGCACGCCTACTCCGGCGCCAACGACCGCGCCGGCACCTGTCACCCCTACTGCGGCTCCCACCCCGGTTACCACCGCGCCTGTGCCGGTCAACAACGCACCAGTCACTCCTACAGCGGCACCTCAACAACCTGGCCGCTGGGGCTTGTTCGACTGGCTTCGCAACCGCTGGGGCTTTGGGCGCTTTGGTCGCAGACTTGAAGCCGAGCACGGATACGGTTGCGGACGCAAACTTAAAGCGGAGCACGGTTGGGGATGGTGGCCGTGGAGGAACAACCAGGGCAACAACATCCGGGGCAACGACTGCGATGACGAGCCCAGCGTTAACAACAACTACGCCCCGACGGTACCTGCTTCGACTGCCCCGACAAATAACTACGCTCCTGCCGTGACAACCCCGTCGAATAACTACACTCCTGCCACAATAGCTCCGACTGTTGCACCTACCACAGCCCCCACAACGTCTCCACAGTATGATGGCAACAACAACAATGTGGATGTGGTTACGGTGAACAAAGAGACTGCAGAAGAGAAGAAAGTCTCAACTTGGTACAAGAAAACGATGGCCAACATGGGGGGCCAATGTGCCGAAGCCATGGCCGATCTCGAGCGTCAAGTGTGCATGTTTGAGAACCAGTGTCTAGGAGGCACGAAAGATTACTCGGCGGCGTTCAAGGCAACGTGGGGGGCGAAAGAACCGCGTTGTCTTACGATCGTCAACTCCATCAAGAGCGGTCAACAGAAGATCACGTACGGGAACTGGCGTAAGGACATGGAATCCTACTTCGGCTGCCCCAAGCCGACAAACGCTACTCAGTCTACGAAACAGAACGCCTACAGTGACACGACTCAATCTGTCGTTCAGGATGCCACTCAGACTGTCACGCAGACTGCCACGGATGCGCTCTCAAGCGTGGTGCAGTCCGTTTAGCTCTTACGCGAGACCAAGTAGTAGCTTCGTTCGAACTCGTAGATCAATGTGATGAGTAATGTGTGTGGTTCTACGAGTATATTGTCTTTTCAAGTCATTCATTCGCGAATCAGCTACAACGATAGGCTGTAGACTTTGGTGTTTATTATCTGCAGCTGACACATCGAAATGTGGTCATATGACACTTTCGTCATTTCTGATCTCAACTCAACTTTTTGGCTGGGAGCTGTAGCGCTCAACACCATACTGTGCCGTGTCCAGTTGGCTGTACTCGTTAATATCTTAGCTGTGCATTTTAGTTCTTACTTGCTTCCTGGCAACCATAACCATGAACTGTCTTCGGGTTATTATCTTGGCGTTGCCTTTGATACTGGCCCTAATAGCTGACGCACAAGCACTTTGTGGTCCACGAGTACGCCGGAACTGGGATGCAATGACGGCTGTGGAGAAGTCCACATACAAAGGAGCGCTGGCTGCAGCAATGGACTCTGGCGCGTACATCAAGTTTGTGGAGATCCACACCGAGATGAAGTCCGAGATGGAGGCGCATAAGCAATGCATGTTCATCTACTGGCATCGGCTCTTCCTCGTCGTATTCGAGAACATGTTGCGTGGTCAAGGCCCCGAGTATGCGTGCGTGACGATTCCGTACTTTAATTGGATAGAGACCAGTAACAAAGCTCTATCTGGAGAATGTAAGACTCTTGGAGACTGCTCTCCTATCATGAAAGAGCTGGGCGGATTGACAGGCAACACGCAGCAGACTGTGGTTATCAACGGCAAGAATATCACTGGAACGTGCGTCTCTAATGCTCCACTGGATCATTTCTGTCAGTCTTCGTCAAAGACTGGTGTTGCATGTGCCGAGAGGCAGTTGGGGGTCTGCTAAAGTCCCAGCGAGTATTAGCTATGCGTCGGTCATCGGGCAGCTCTTCAATGGGACGAACATAGAGAAGGTTTCTCGCACGGTTGAGCGCGGATGCCACGCCGATATCCACGCAGCATTAGGCAGTACAATGGCGAAGTTCCAGTGCCCCGCAGATCCGATCTTCTGGTCGCATCACGCCATGTTGGACGCGCTGCTCACGATCTTCCACAAGTGTCGCGTTGGTACACGACGCATGACGTTCGAAGAGAAGGCAGCGGACCCTGTAGCGTGGGCCTCGTGTAAGCGACGAGTCAGAAAGAATCCTACCGGTCCGCCATTCAAGCCGACCGATGCTGTCGCAATGAGAACCGGTGAGAATGGCTCGAACCCGATCGAAGCGAGTGAAGACCCCGTTATCGGTCGGTACTTAAAGGGTGTGCCTAACCGATTCGCCGACTTGATGGACGGTAGCGATCTAGGCACAAACAGCTACACGGACGAGATCAACGGTCTACTTGCTGTCATGTACAACACTTGTGGCGGTACCGAACCAGTTGCAGATACTCGCGCACCAGTGTCTAGTCTGGAGGGAGAAACAAGCAACGGTCGCAACTTTTTCGATTGGTTTATCAGTCGAGTTTTACCGAAGGAGTCAAGAGCGAGGCGTCGACTGTCGAGTTGTCGTACTAGCACCGCGACGAAGGAGATTATTCCACCAGTTTCAAGCAGGTCGAAGCATAGTGTTCCCGTGGTGATTGCGTTCAACTTGACCCGGTCGGAGAAGCGTATGATGAACTGGTACAATGAGACGATGTCATTAAACGGAGGGCAGTCGATTGCAGACATGAAGCGTCAAATCTGCATGTTCCACGACCAATGTCTCGGTGGTATCGTCGACTATACAGACGACTTCAAGGCTCTGTGGGGAGTGAAGGAACCTCGCTGCAAGACCATCGTGAACGCTATAAGCAATGGCGAGCAGAAGATTGTCGATTCGGCATGGAAAAGCAAGATGGAAGCTCATTTTGGGTGTCCACATCCAGTCAACAAGACCGTCACCAGGGAGTTCGAGTAAGTCTCGAATCACAAATATTTGTATAGTGCAGTGAAAGCCTAGATGTCAGTACTAATTGGATCACTTTTTGTTGACACACCTCCAATCTTTCGTCATCGTTTTTACCGCTACAGAACTTTTATTTTGTCACTCTACTGATTTTTCATCATAAAATTGGGATCTCGTCGATATTTGGCCTCGAATCTCTCCATCCACTTGTCCAGTAAGTTCGTGGGGATCGTCATGTAGCTTTGGCTGTTGCTACTGGAGAAGGAGCTGAGGTAGTTAAATAAATCCTGCGCGATCTTGAGTGCAAATGCCTTGCGCTCCTCCAATCCGCTGGCCTCAATGCCCAAATTCTTGACATTATCCAGACTCTCGATTGACACGCCAAGCTGCAGCACGGGCTGACCCACCACGTCCGGATGTGTGGGCCACGATGTCCGGAAAATGGCGCTCGGCTTCTCAGCGAACACTGTTCCCAGTAGTTGCCAGTTCTGTAGCGCTGGTAAAGCGAAGTATAGTACGGCTAGCATCAACTCAGACTCAGATGTTAGTGTATCACTAGGTTTACCACATGGGTACATCTTCTCACCTCCGAAACCTGGCGGTACAGGCGATCCAGGCAGCAAGAAGAACGTGAGGTCGGTCACTTGCGTCGGCTCCAGGATGTCCACGACGTAGTGCGCGGGCCCGATTTCCCTGTAAATTATGTAAACCGAAATGTAAGCAAGATGACACGGATGATAGAGGCAGTGAGTGACACTGCAGGTGGCCAGCAGCTATAGACATACGCACCGGAAGTCGGTGATGACAGGGCGACCGGCGATCACGAGACCGAACTGCGCGATACCAGGCGGCGCGACGTTCATCTAAAGCTGTATTAGAGTCAAATTGCGAAGGTTCTGGAATATGATACTGTAGCGCTTTATTACAGTGCCCGCCAAATCATTCGATTTGGCGGGACAATTCTGACAATATCTCGGCTTCTAGCCTGAGTTGAGAGCTGCTACTTTGATATGTTCTCTCTATTAGGCTTACAGAGGTGCCACTTGTGTTAACAACTTAGCAGGGCTGGTATACAAATTTAAGGTTTGGACATCAGCGTCAAATTATTAAGACCACATCCTTTTTATGACGAAAAAACACTTTTATGAACAGACCTTACAAATTTCTATATTAAAAATTAGTACCTAGTCAGACCACCTTTCTTCTTGATCACCGCTAGACAGCGGCGAGGCATGGACTCTATCAGCTTCAGCAAGTAGTCTAGCTGAATGGAGTCCCATGCAGCCATGATTGCTGCCTCCAGATCAGCAACGTTTTGGTACTGGCGGCCATGTGCATACACCTTGGCCGCCATCGCCGACCAGACGTTCTCGATGGGGTTGCAGTCAGACGAGCGAGCTGGCCAAGCCTATAATACAAAATTGCAGCAAAACTTTAATATGAGAGGCTTACCTGGCTTCAGTATGTAATCTTCCGCCCATTGCATGCGGGCAGCCTTGTGCGCTGCCGTGAGGGGAAGCGTGCGGTCCATCTTGGTGTAAACCAGATGGTCCACACGCTGCAGAACCCGCTGGATCGTCCTCACGGACGCCTTGATGCCGAACTTCGTCTTGAGCTCCGCAGCAAAGAACTCACCTGTCGCCGCGGCACGCACAAGCTGCCGCAGCTCTCGTTCCGTCAGTGCCGGTTGCCGCCCAGCCCTTCGCTCTCCACCCCTGTCTTCCTTCCGTCCCCGCTCCGCCTTGACTGCGTTCCGGACGGACGTACGGGACCGACCTGTCTTCCTAGCGATCTCGTGCAGAGAGACGCCTCCGTCGTGGAGACCGACGATAAACCAGTACTCTTGTTGGGAGAGGGTCTTGCCGTGGCCCATTAGAAAATGAAAGGCTCACAGCCTCCGTAGCGTCTAGCTACCCGCTCATTTCGCCAACCATCTACTTATTTTGACCATCACTCTTTTAATATAGAGTTTTGTAAGGTCTGTTCATAAAAGTGTTTTTTCGTCATAAAAAGAATGTGGTCTTAATAATTTGACGCTGATGTCCAAACCTTGAATTTGTATACCAGCCCTGTCAGATACATAGAAATCTAAGTTGTTAACACAAGTGGCACCTCTGTAAGCCTAATAGAGAGAACATATCAAAGTAGCAGCTCTCAACTCAGGCTAGAAGCCGAGATATTGTCAGAATTGTCCCGCCAAATCGGGGGTCTTAATGATTTGGCGGGCACTGTACATAGTATTGTGTGGAAGACATATGATAATCCCCAATTTGATTTTTGGGTTTTCTTTTGGAAACTCAGTTTTTGCACATTCACTTACCGGTTTTTATTTCTCTTTGAGAGTTGCGTGGGGTGCGGTTGTGAGACATGTCCGCCTTGCAATTGGTGCTGCAAACTTGGTCACTACTCGAAGTGGTACTATTGGCCGAAACTCCAGGGAAACAATCAGAACGGGGAGCGTCGCCCAATCGAGTGTCTGCTTTGTGGTGTGTGCTTGGAGATTTTAATGGGATAGTGAAATTGTTGTTGGGTGCGCGCAGTGACACTGTTGGGTGGCGACAACTGGGCGCAGGAGGCGGTTGTGGTGAGGTACTTTTTAAGAAATAAGAAGATGCAAAATGACTGGTGGACACTGTTCTGGATTAATGACACTGTGGATTCGAGCACGAAGATCTGGATCCAGGGATCACGAATCGAGACGAGAGCTGTAACGATTTGGACGGGACACGACGATGCCAACTAGGCAGTGTGCTGGTTTTTTACATGCATTGCTACTTTATTTACGTGGTAACCCTTGTAAAAATGTAAAAAAAAAAGATTAAGAACGTGGAATTATGTACGATATCTCAGTTCGACTGTTCTGGGCCATCGCATGGCTGCTGCGACTATGGCGGCGTCCGAACAGCCTCCTACTGGCGACGACGTATAGCAGCTTACACTTGCTTGCTGCGCAGCATTGCGTTCCGTGAAAACACAACGTAGCGCGCAAATCGACAAGTTTCAGGTCCAAGAATGCGTCTACTGGCGCTCATGCAAGGTCACTGTGGAGAATATAATGCACCGCCGCCCGTTCTTCCCGTTGAGACTGAATGCCAATCTGTCGTATACAGAAGTGCTGGGACAGATACGTGCAGCTCTTGAGTCTCCAGTATCGCAAACAGCTCCGGACTCACGTGGATGGTTAGTAACGACCAGCTAAGCGGATAGAGTTCATCTTGGTGCAGCTGTGAAGAGGGATATGATTATCAAGCCGCTAGAGGAGATGGCAGTCACAGACAAAGCGAGAGAGTGATCTTGATGCTGCCAGAAGCTGGATGTGATGCAGTTCCTGTCACAGAAGAACGTGCTGACGGTGTTTTCGAAGTATGAAGAGTTGTTAAAGCAGTTGGAGAGGCAAATGCGAGTGTGGCAGCAGTAAATACAGCGGTGAGAGGACTAGATCTGTGGATGAACTACTGCATGAGTATATAGAAGCTACAACAGTGTTGCGTGGAGTATGTGACCGGTATTTCTGCGCCTTTCCAGCGATATAAGACAATTGATGTGTGGAGAGTCACAGATGAATTGAAACTTACTGCTGGCTTCATGCACGCCCAGATCAGGAATCACAGAGCTATGATTTGCTGTATAGCGCTGGAAAACGTGCTGCAAAGTAATGAAACGGTTCCATGTGGGGACTTCTCCCTTATCATTCCGTGTTGACTCTGTAGCGAGGCTGGTGGTGCTAACCCATGCGATTCAAGCATACGTTTGGGCATCCCCATCAACGCCTGCATGTTCGCGTCCCCGCTTGCTGCGTTTGAAGGACGTCGTCAAAACCAAGTTGGCGCTCTCGATTCAATTAACCTCAAGTATCAATATCTTCTCCTCTGTATTGCGGGTAGGGGCTGGCTTGTTAGGCACCGACTACTTCATTACGGGACGCATTCTACAGGATAATGTTGATGCCGCCCGGTACATTCACGCTGAACCGCGAGGGAGAGATGCACTAAAAACGCGTCCAAGCTTGAGCAGTCAAACACTCTGTACAATCAAAGGTGGTTTGGCCACAAACAACATAAAGTAAGATGAAACGGCTATCCAAACACATTGACAATGGTTGTATTGTGGGTGCACGTACACCACCACGATAACTGGCAACTTACGCACGACCTACAACTTTGGTTTCTGCATTCAGTTCCCAGCTGCGAGCGACGCTAGACTTGTATATCTGCTTCTACGGCTCGCTAGCGCTGCTCCTACGACTCAGTATCGCTATCACACACTTCCGGTCTGCGCTTATCGATGAATCGGATCTTGTCCTGGTACTCAGGAGGAATGGCGGTCCCATTGCGCCACGTTTGATGCCAGATCTGATCGCAGGTGAGGCTGCTGTCGCGGTCAAGTCGGCGTGCCTTGTTGCACAACGACACCCTGCCTCTCTTCGAGCGACTACAGGCCGCACAAAAGTAACTGGTCTCAAAACTGCGCACATTAGGACCTGCAAACGCCGAGCACACCTTGCAGATCCATTGACGGTTCTTAGTTTTTGCCTTATTATTTTCTTCGAGCTTCTGGAGGGTGTGAGGTTGACGCGGTAGCGTCTACGTGATCAGCTCCTCCACGTCATTTCTGCCGGATAAATCTTCACTTGTTTGTCCAAGAAGATCAGCGTGCAAACGATGCAAGAAGACTGCGTGTGGCGGCACGGGTTTATTGAGCTTTTCCATTTGCCAGCTTGTGCACAATGAATACGTTGACCATGGCGATATCAACGAGACCGATAAACAGCGTCTTGTAGTACTTTCTCATTCGAATGGAGCGCTGGATTGAGTAGCGCTTTAGGCGGAGATGATCGTGGACATCAACCCCGCCCATGGCTTCGTGATAGTCCTTCACCAATTGAGGGCACGGCACCATAGACACAGTACCACCCGGCTCACGTCGACTCACGTGTGTCAGCTTCGTGGAGCACCCCGTCGCGAGGAAACGAACCGGTTTATTGTCCATCCAGTTTAGTGCAACGAGCTCGGGATGATGGCGTCATTGTGCGATGCGGAACATACCACGAGGCATACTTTGCGGACGCCGCTTTTGTTTGAATTCCAGCTTCTTGCACCATCCCTTGCGGTCATCGCGAGTTATTCCCACATGCATGTGCCCCATGGCCAAAATCTTGTGTGGCAACGGGATAGAAGTATAGTAGTTGTCGGTGCATATCAAACGCTGTGCCGGCTGCCCGCGAAGGACATGACGGAGATTCGCCACGACTGCTTTCTGAGCTACTGCAGTTTCGTCCTTGTCGGCTTTGCCACAATAGATGTCGATTCTACACAGCAACAAACAGCAAGGTCAGTATAATCTTGTATTCAGCGCGGAACATCCCGAACATATTCCGGATTATCCAGACCAGAACTATTTCTCACCTGGAACAGTATGCGGTGTCTGCACAGCAAGTCATGTAGAGCTTCGTGCCCCATTTGTTAGGCTTGTTTGCCAGATACTGCCGAATAGGATTACGTTTGTGATGCATGGGCACCATGTCTTCGTCGAAAGAGATGCGGGCACCAAGCCGAAAGCCGCGGAAAAAAAGTCTTTTGAAGAGCTTGGACAACAGGGCGGATCTTGAACGCCCTATCACCAATGGAACTCTGAAGATCGTTATCATTGAAGTGGAGGTAGCGCGCAATATTCTAAAAGCGATCTCTGCTGAGAAACTGGCTGAAAGTGCCTCTCGACAAGCGCGCCCTCGGTCCTTGTGATCCATGGCTAATTAGACTTTCACGGCGCGGCCCCAGAGCCCTTGCAATCAACAGTCCAATGAACCGGACTATCTCGTGTGGCTGAATGTTGTTCTTGCGGCGCAACTTGACTCGATACTCTTCGACAGACAAAACATTTTTCGCGTGCACGTCTGTGCATACCTTGGGCGACCTCGTCAATACAATCTAGGCGATATTTGTTCGTTTCACTAGCAATCCGACGCCACAGTTCTTTGGGGAGCTAAAAGTAGAATATAGCCAACGGATTTTCGGCGTAGGCCAGAGCTGCTTTAGTAGGTCCGCAGGGGCCGTCGTAAAGCGGAGCAGCATCCACCATAACTTGTCCACTGTGCCGCTCATCAAAGTAATCCCACTCCTCCTTTTGAAGGCATTCCAGGTCGCCAGCATCAAGATCGAACGTGACATGGTCTTCATCCACCACATCCACTAGAAACTTCTGTGTCATTTTCTACGCTTTCGACGTCTGACTCCTCGAAAATAGCATTGCTGTCGTCATCATGAATGATTGACTCTTCATCTCCTTCAAGATCCGAGTCCAAACCAAGCAACCAGTCTGTCTCGCCGACGATCAAATCATCCGATTCTAGTGGCCCAAACAAACGATCACTACGAAGAGCATCCAAGAAGTCGTCCGAATCAAACGCGTCCAGTAGTGATCGCCCACCAGTTGCATCTGCTCCGGTACGAACCTCAGCACCGGTAGTTGTCGCCTTTGGAACAGGTTCTTCAGTAGTATCAGGATTAGTATCATCCCCATTCGGAATAGATATGTCGGTAAGATCCGGAACAGTCTCGGTCGTATCAGGAATAGTTGATGCAGTCATATCTGTAATAACATTATATTAGTATTGATACACCGATTAGGCGTCGCGTCGTACACTCACCTGCAACGGTAGGCTCGGGTGCCATGGTTTTTGTCTCGTCAACGGCGGCTCGCTTCCGCTGAGGCATCTCATCGGTACGACTTGAAGGCCTCTTTGCTGCAGACATACTAGCAGACGGCTTCTTGGCGGCCGGCTTAGTGACAGCAGAATTCTTGGTAGCAGAAGACTTGGCGACAGGCTTGCTCGGCGTCGACTGCTTGTCTTTAGCAACTATTGGTGTCGCCACC